AGATGCATTTCATCATTTCGAGCCAGGCACTCATCACGAACGATAATTCAGGAATTGATACTCCCTATATGTTATCGCGTAAACATCAAAATATACATGTACGTCGAAGTATTTTAAATAATGCGTAACTCCACCAAGTTCCTATTTCACGGCATATTGCAGCGCGCTTTTTTTAATTATCTTAGATGATCATTTAACCAGCTGCCGCTCTGAAACGACGTAAAATGAAATTGCCCCTCCCTACTTGTTATTTAACAACGCGATAGGAAATGAAGTAAATGGGAAAACTTATGCAATTTCGACTTACAGAGTTTTCGCGTCGACTTCGCTTCCGTATTGTACCGAGGTTAACGAAATGCATCCAATCTATTTGACTTACTCCTGGTACTTTACTGAGCGTTTCTTTGAGTTCGCGTATCAGCACTAAAATTCAAGACTGAATAATCATATCACGATGCGAGATGTCTGAATTCTGAGGTTTACCCTCTAAGGATAAATCATGGCTCCGCGATGCGCTTACGATTAACCATATTCAGGTTTTTACTGAAGGCAGTAAATTATAGCAGCTTTAAGCCAAGCTTAATCTGGTGACTTGCATGAAATGATGCCACTAGTATTCCCACTTCTGAGACTCAAGTTATTTACAGTTGTGCATGCCACTGAGTCAAAATTTCAGAATAGCTCCGAACATAACGCGACAAACGAAACATGTACTCCAGTACGGTACTGTGAGAAAACGATAGAAATCAAGGTTTGTTGACGCTAATAGAGAAGATTTAGTCCTCATGCAACTATTTAGGTAAACAACGTCAGCGCTGAGAATCTCTTGGAAGTTATAAAGATCATCGTAGAAGCCTATCGCGTATGCGGAATCTAGGTTTTATTTGGCATAATTTTACTCAGTGTTAGAATTCGAATCGAATGAACGAAGATACAGAGGTGTGGAGGTCGGTTGCATCAGTGCTGGTAAATGCCATGGTACTTATGTAGCAATCTACTGTGCTTTTTCTAGGCCAGCATTGTGCCAGCTGGTTTTAAAGGAGACCGAGGCGAAAAGGTAAGTAAGTTTAAATATTCTCTAATCGCTTGGTGCCTTAAATCTTGAGTGAAGGGATCGAAAGGAGAGCATGGACCGGTAGGCCCGCCTGGTAGCAAAGGAATGCCGGTACTACCCTTTTCGAAGTGTCAGGGCTATATCATGTAATTTATAGGGGAAAACTGGCAAACGCGGATTTCCAGGACCACATGGACCAAGAGGCTCGAAGGTTACGCGTTTAGACGAAAGAAACTCATACACTGTATGGCATTTCAGGGGCCTCCAGGGTATCCAGGAATACCTGGTTTGCCAGGCAAACGAGGATCGCCGGTAACGTCAGTAATGTATAACAGCGTTTAACAGATGTCTTCAGGGAACCGCTGGCACACCTGGACCTAGAGGTTTGTCTGGGTTTCCAGGAGATCCGGTATTCACAGAGCATTTTTAGCCATGCAATCAGTTCTTTTACACTTCAATATTTAGGGCGCTCCCGGACTTCAAGGGATCAAAGGAGTGAAGGGAAATAAGGTACGCTGAAAAACAACAAAGTTAAGTCAGATTTACAGTTGATGTTAACTTTTTAAAGGGTGCTCAAGGGCTTCCCGGAGTTATCGGAATGCCTGGAGCCAAAGTACATCCGTGAAATGTTAAGCACTTATGCACTCGTTATGTTACAACTTTTAGGGTGAGCGTGGTCTTCCTGGACCGAAAGGTTTGAAAGGTGATCCGGGCATTGCCGGGCCACGTGGTCGTCCTGGATTTCCGGGTCGTGTAGTAAGAAGCATGCAGTAAATTCGATTCCGGTCAGAATTTCGCTTTTGATTCTTTCTACTAGGTTATATTAAAAGAATGCGTTGACGTTAACACCACTTCGTCACCTGTTATTGAGGTAGTGTGTAACTTGATTT